ACGCCATCTATGACCCCCCGGCTCCATGTTCGAGCTGAAGCCCCCCCCCCCCAAAACCACAAGGTCCGCCCTGAGAACCACCTCATGAGACGGCCGTCGTCGTTCAGAGCGCCCACGGACCAGGCCGTCGACTCCCCCCAAAAAGATTCCTTCTTCGACCCCCACGACGGCTGCAACCAAGGCCCCTCCTCCCGGTTCTATGCACGCATATACACGTCCAATATCATAACGGAGGTCCTCTATGCCTTAGCGGCGCTTGTTCGTGTTTCGAAAGACGCAAAACATGAGACGCCCAGCGAGAGATCCCGCGTGCGCGCGCGCGCATGGTTGAGGGCCCTCGGCCAGCCAGCAAAGTCCACCACTCTGACGCCGGAACTCGCCATGCAGCGAGAATGATCGCCCATATGCCCCAATGCTACACCAGGACGAGGCGCTTGCCTCTTCCAGTCGGCCGTCTTATTTCTTTTGACAGCGCCAAACCATGCTCGCTAGGGATGGAGGGGAGGGGGCCAGCTCGCCCATTCTCCCCCCAGTACGAACCCGCAAACAGAAGCAAAATAGTCAGCCAATATTAGGGCGGACGTCGTGGAGGCCCTGCGAGGTCGAATCTCGCCCCGGGCTCCATGGGTTAGCGCGCCAGCGCGGCTTCTGACTGTTCCGATACACGCCCTGTAGACGAGAGACCCGACGCTGCGGACATGCGCGAGGAGGGTTTCCGTGCAAGCAAAAAAGAGAAGAAAATAGGTGATGATCAGCGTTGCGCCATGCGCCGCAAGCGGCCGCCGTGCTGCAGATCCGCTGGCGAACGGTGCTTCGGCTGCCATCCGGTGTTGTTCGGGGCAGATGGAGGGTGATACCGCCCGCCGTCCATGCACAGAGGATCGATCTTATGATTTTCCCACAGCCACGGCCGGTCTGAACGTGAACGTGAACGATGATGCTGATGATGATGTTGTTGTCCTGGTAGGGCTAGTGAGGGCTGGCGTAGGAGATGCCCCCCCCCCCCCCCCCCCCCCCCCCCCCCCCCCCCCCCCCCCCCATGCAGGAGGCCGTATCAAGACGGCCGTCCGTAAACGGTCATCCCAAAGAGGTCGCGGGGCGGGTGGACCTTGCAGACGAGGACTCCCAGAGTTCCTGTTTTCCGTGCATGCCATGTACGGAAGGGGGACCAGCGACGAAATTACCAGCCCCAATGCCCTTTTTCGAGGGACATGCGGGCAGCAGCAGGCGATGCAAGCACGCAGCCACCCGCGGAGATGCAAGACGAGGGTGAATAGGTAAAGCATTCTGTATGGGGGAGCGAAAGTTGGATTCCGTAAGCCGCGGCGCCATTGTAACGTGACACGGCGGGCCGCCTCGGTGCGAGACGAGAACGATAGCGACAACGACGACGACGCCTAATTGCATCAGTTTGATGTCGGACCAAGACACCGCAGCAAGCCACGCGTTCGCGGAACGATGCTCCGCTAAGGCATGTGTTTTGCAAGTCGGCGTCCTGCTCATTTGCTGATTACTAGAGGAGGGCACTACATAGTACAGTTCACCCTATAGAGTACAGTTCACACTACAGAGTACAGTTCACGCTACAGAGTAGACTCTGGACCCTGAGACGGTGGCTGCGGAGCTGCACTCCGCGCGGCAGAAGCCAGGCACGGGGCGCACAAGAGGATCCCCCCAAGGACGCGGCGTGCCATGGTGCTGATGATCACCGGTTCCTCCGGTCGACGATCAGTGTTTCGCAGCACGACAGTGACTGCACTTCTCTCTCGCCATGACATGACTCCCCGATGGCCGTGCCCGGACTGGACTCCGTCAGAACTCAACCCCCCCTTTCGTGAAGATTAGGCCTCACCCCCGAACTCGGCCATCGAGCTGTCGTTTCGGAGGGTCCCCGCTGGCAGCACAATGCGAGTCCACAGTGGCATGTCGTGAGTTTGGCCGGCAGGCGTGACCCTGGGGAGCTCGTCCTCAAGCTTTTTGCAGAACAGTCGTGGACGGGGTTTTTTTCATTTTATTTTTCTTTGGATTTCTAATTCCTGCTTGCCAAGATACTGAAAGGGCGCCCTGCAAACCCCCGCGGTGCCCTCGGGATATTTTGTCTTTGGACGCCCAGGTGGCTGAGGCGGCTTGGGGCTGGGCGGCTCGCGGGCTGTCCTACCCCCCCTCCCCTCCCCCTTTTCACCAAGAACGCGAGGCCGTCGCGAGAGATTACCTTTTCCATCCCGGAAACCTTGTCGGGGATGTTGTTGTTGGGTAAACTGTCAAAACTGGACCCTGCTGATCATCCAACAGTCATGGCGTGTGTGTGTCAGTGCGATTAAGGGGCAGAGACATTTTTCTTCACATTTTTTTTTCCACGTACTGAGTTTTTCATCACGTGTCGATGGAGCAAGTGAGCCAGAGTGTAGTGTATGTGTCTGAATTGCTTCAAAGTATTTTGATTCTCTCAAAATGTTTCAGTGGTATCCGCCATTCCCGATTTTTGCTCCAGCGCCCAAGGGGTATTGTAATACAGTCAAGTGGCCCAAACAATAACCTAATCCCTCCCAAAACAAAAACAAAACAGAAAGCTTTTGTGTTGTGAGTTGCCTGCAAATTCCGCTGATGCCATGTCCATTCCGCACTCATAAGTGGTCTCCAAAATGCATACACGCCCCTCAGAAATGGCCCCGCCAAGACGACAAATATGTAATACGAAGTGAATTGTGAAGAAAAAAAATCGAGAGAAAAAAAAGTACATGTCCTCCGCAATAAAAGCGCTCATGCGCGTCGACGTCAGAGGCGCTGCCGGCACGGAAACGACGCTAAGAAAGAAAAGGACGGCGCGGGACCAGTCGCCGACGAATGAGAACGGCCGGGCGGCGGTGGTCGAGGCCGCTGATTGGCCGAGAGCGAATCCCGCCCACGAGCCCATCTCGGTTGGTGTCGTGTCGCACAGGGAAGCTGAGAAGAGGGAGAGACAAGCTCCCCCTCCACAGGACCCCTATGATTCCCCAATGACGTCCGAATCATCGACTCGCGCTGCGTTGCGGTGCGATTGCGATGCACTGATTGGCGTCGGACTGCTGCTTCTGCAGGTCTCTCTTGCAAGCCAATGCGAACCCCCCTACTAAGCGCGCTAGGCTTGGGAAGGGGTCGGAATGCATTGCGTTGCGAACAACAATGAGGGGAACTGGGCGACTTTTCCAGGGTTTTCGGGGTAAACGTTGCTCATGCACAATGATGTCTTGTTGACTGTGCCCCCCCGTTCCCCGTCTCTGCCAGAAATGCGCTAGCAGAGTAGTGCCAACGTCTTTTCTGTTTGGTGTTGTGCTGCTGCCAAAGTCGAGGAGGGAGAGCCCTGTCAGGGGGGAAAAAAAAAGGAGTTGAAAAAAGGAGTTGTCGGCAATTGCATGCCGGGCGAATAAGCCGTGGCCCGTGGAGATGCCTTATCTTTCTTTTCAATGTTTTTTCCCCTCGAGTCTCGCATCCGAGACGAAGCAAGAAGAAGAATCGAAAACACCCGTGCGCCAAAAGTCGGGTGCTTGGCGGTGGAAACAAAAAGATGAGATGCTCAAATGAGACAGGCGGGAACCGAGGCAGGGCGCAGTGACCCGGTGGCAGTGTGTGGGCGCGATGCACTGCGCAGGCAGGCTGACTGATTGTGTTGTGTGACTAAGACTTGGCGACGAATAAGGTGACATGAAACTGTTGCCTGCTCGCCCTGTTCCGCGCGTGTCGCTCTTTCTTCGCTGAGTGGCCCCACAGAAGACCGGGAGCGGCAACGCCAAGGCCCCGCTACCAGCCAATCACGTGCGCCGGACTCGCTCCGGTGGAGTCGCTTCCGAGTCCGGGAGCGGCCAATGGGAAGCCCCGGCCTGTGGAATGACAAACCCTGAGGGAAAATGGTGAAGAAGATGCAGTCCAAGCCGCGGTTTCGAAGAAAAAAAGACTGAGTAGAAAATTGGACTGAGCCTCGCCAGTCACTGGTCGGGCGAAAAGAGTCGCACAGAGTGCTCCTCGTATCGCGCTGCGAGATTCGGCGAGATCTCGTTCTTGGTGCGAGATTAGGCCTAGGAATGATCCGCAGTGGGGACCGAACCATTGTAACTGTCAACGCGGGTCGCATCAGACCGCTGGCTCTGCGTGTGTGTGCGTTGGGCTGGGCCGTGGAGCCCGCCCGGACTCGCCGTCGGCGCCGAGTCGGCATCGACAGTCTCGACCAGTCTGATTGTGTTTCCACGCACAACAACAAACCCGAGGATCTGCTACTTGTCTGAGGAATGAACCCCAAGACGAGACCACATGATGTTGTGAGCAGGCCGTGGTGTTGCTGTGTCGGCGTTAAGCTTAGACTGCTGACTGTAGCATTGTGTAATGCTGCGGTTGCGCTGTGCCGCGGCCGGTGTCCATTGGACGAAAAAACCCGTTGGTGGTGGATTGGTTTCACCCTGGGCGGGTTGCCCTGGCCTGCGACCGCCGCCGAAGCAAAAGTCGAGAAGAATCCAAGAAGCACCGCGGCCAAGCGGGTCGGGCGATGACTCCACTTGTTGGATGCGTGCAATGCTAATCCTGGGGGCCCTTGAAAGAGGAAGGAAGGTGGTAGGCCTTACGAAGAGACGTGGAAAGCCAAGCACGAGAATGACTGTCGTCGGTCCCTAAGCTGAATAAGATCCAGGCCGTAACCTCGCCGAGTTGTGCTCGTACGACGGTGCCGAAAGTGCTTCTTGCGGGGAGGCTGGTGGTGCCCCTTTGCGTGCGGTCCCCGGTCCCGTGGAGATAAGGCCATCTCGATCTGGGCGGTGATGACATAGGGTGCATGTCGAAGGTCTACCTCCTACGACCTGGTGGTAGTGGCGGTAGTGGTGGTGGTGGTGGTGATGGCGCGTGTCCGTGGTGTAAGCCGCTACCGTGTGCTTGCGCTTACAACTCCCGTGAAATGGTGGAATAGAGATGATTGCGGTTCCGTTCGTTTACTGTCCCGTCAGACCCAAATGCATCCCCGTGATGCCGGCGGCTGCTCATTTGTAGCCGACCATCTTGGCGCAGCGCTCGCAGTAGTACAGGTTGTGGGCGATGCGGACCATGCCGGTCGAGCTGGAGTCGTCTGTTGAGGTGGCCTCGACCGCCCTCGCGCAGCGCAGGCAGCGGAGGACCTCGACGGAGGCAATCGGTCTTGAGACGGAGTCCATGCTGTGTCTGTAGGATGAAGAGGCGGACGAGAGGTCGGAGTCGGACGAAGACGAGGAGCTGTAGTGGATCTTGGAAGGGCGCGAGCTCGAAGGCATGATGATGTAGGTGTGTTGGTGATGGCTGATTGTTGGTTGAGTGTTGGCAAGCCGTTGGGTGTTTGCCCTTGGTGCGGATGTTGCTGGCAGTTTGGCTTGGTGTCAAGAGGCTAGAGTTGGGTGGAAAGTGAGGTCTGGATATGTGGGTGTGGGATGGCTTGATGATATATAGAGAAGAGAGCAAAACCGTGGGAGGAACGAAGAAGAGAGAGTGTAGGCCCAAGGGGGGTGTGGGTGTCGGTTGGTTGACGGGGGGGTGCGAGAGACAGGGGTGAGGGTTAAAAAAGAAATAAGGAGGGTAGAAAAAAAGAAGAGAGAGAGAGAGAGAGAGAGCTGGGGGTGCAATCTGTGACTCTGAGCAGAGGGGTGCGGATGTGGGTGTGGGTGTGGGTGTGGGTGACGAGGGAGACCAGACGGTGATGGCAGCCCAGCGTAATAATGCAAGCGAAATGTGCAAAGAGTGCTCTGGAAGTGTCGGCAGCAGGCAGCGAAGGAGATAGCTGCGGTCGCTCAGTCACCTCCGTGTCCGAACGTGATGGAGGGAGGAACGGGGAGTTGTGCAGGTTGTGCTATGAGCAGTGGGTGGGTGGTGCAGCGCCAGCCCAGCCGGACAAGGATGATGCGTGTGCCTGTTCTTCTTCTCCAGCCTAAGCCAAGCCCCCAGCTTCAAGTCAGAAGACAGGGAACACGGTTGTTCGAGGGGAGTGGAAGGGGGGTGCGACGTCAGGCACAAGACTCTTGAGAGAGCAACCAAGCCCCCAGCCAAGCCGAGGAAGGGGGGTGAGCTGTGCGTGGAAAGGGATAGCGAGGGAGAATGGAGAGAGAGAGGAGACGGAGAGGCGGAGCGAGACGGAGAGACGGGGAGACGGAGGGGTGTCTCGTCTTGGTGTGTTGGACGGCGGGTGGGCGTATCTGCGTTCGCGTCAAGCGAGATGGTGTGTGAGTGGAGCCGAGGACCAAAAAGCCAGTCCGTGGGTTGCAAGACGGTAGGGAGGCAGACGAGACGGTTTCGATGCCGATTTGGAGAACGGTGTGGGTTGATGTTACGGAGGTGTGAAGTCCGTAAAATAAGTCCTGCGTCAGCGTTTCGCCCTGTAAAAGGTGTGGAGTTAGTTTGGGGTGTGTCTTTTTTTCATTCTTCATAAACGGGCTGTGCATAAGTGCATTGCTATATGCAAGAAACACAACAACGGAGGTAAAAGCGGGTCTTACGAGTATATTCGCTCAACCGGGGCGCCAATCGAGGGGAGTTGAATGGGCGTGTGCAGCTTGGCAGCAGCAACCTGAAATGGCACTGGAAAGACCGGGCGGTCGATTGGGCAGATATCGACTCGTTGGCTCAGTACCCGGAGTCGTAATCGAATGGGCTTCCTTTGGGCGCCGGTGCAGCGCAGGGCGTTTGTAATCGTTTTTTCTTTCTTTCTGAGGCCTGCTCCTCTGGCTTGTTTCTTTTCGTTTCTGAGGCCTGCTCACTCGGCACAGCGCAAGCGTTTGTATGTGTGTGTGTGTGTGTGTGTGTGTGTGTGTGGTACGGTACGTACGGATATCCTTCGAGGATGGATGGATGTGGGTTCGGCGGGATGACTTGTCCGCGTGTTGGTGAGGTAACAATGGACAACAAACACTCGGTGATTTCCTCCAAGCCGGTGGAGAGAGTCTACGGGACGCAAACGAGCCAGTCGTATTGAGGAGTCTGATCAAAGACTTTTTTTTAGTTATGTACAGAGACAACCGCCTGTTGATGAGTGTGTCGAAGGGAGTAACAATTTCGTTTCCCAGCACAGCACGGGGACATTGGGGGATGTCGGCACATTAATACATCTCGCATGTGGGAGAGCAGGAGCTCGAATTCAGGGTCCAAACCCATGGGGGAAAAGTGATCAATCAGAATTCTGGACCGCCCAACGCTCCATGGTTTCCCCGTGGCGCCCTCCCTATTCATTACCATATGCCGCGCGGTTTATGGCACATTTGGCATGTGGACGTCCAAGCATCTCATCACTCGATAACCCCTCGCCTACCCGGGAACCTCCCACGAGCACACAGACAGCTCATCAGTCCGAGACGCCGGTGAAGAGTGGCTTTTGATTGCGCATCTCGATTATAGGACGGGGTTGTGGAGGGTGGGACGGGAGGCCCCCAAAAGGGGAGAGAGGGATTAGGGAGACGTGTGTAAATGGCGGCGGGGAAAGCCATGAAGGCCGTGGCGTGGATTCCGGCAGTGGTGCCGTTCACCCTGCCCTCCCCATGAAGTCTGACTCCTTCTCCTAATGGGCTACTTTCCCTCTCATGAACGTTGTCGCCGACATTGTGTTCCGTGGAGACCGACCCGTTGCTTCTCATAGGACGGCCTCGCGGGCCCCGTCGGTAGTGGTGGGCGTCAAGCAAGGGCACGGAAGTGAGGATCGGAGGAATAGATGCTCAAGATTGGAACGATGGCGGGCAGAGGTTTCATGTTTTCTCGGTACTGCCAGCCATGGACAAATCTCGATATCGTGGGGTGGGCATTTGATTAATCCCGAGCCGCCATCCATCCATCCAACCATCCACTTATCTACCGTTGCATTCTCCCCTGGTCTAACTGCCTCGACGAGAACGACGGTTGCTACCATGAGCCAACCAGCGTGCGACGTGAGTGGTGGCCGTCACGTAGAAACATAAATTCTGCTGTGCATCCGCGAGCTGAGGTAAAGGGGATCGATATAAAGCCAAGTCTCGCGGACGGGGGCCACCCCGGATCGACGACGGAGCCCCGAGCGGAGCGGTGGGAGAACAAACCGTCTCGTTCCTTCTGGAGACTCCTGCGCTCCTTTGATCAATATAACCTCTCTGCGCGTCCCCCCCCCCCCCATGCCGTTTGGGATTGATGATTCGGTCGCATGATCTTCGCGGGAAGCCGTTTATTTTTTCCTCGTTGTAATTTACAGACTCGCTAGCACCGCCGTTTCTCGGTCAAGTGGGCCTGCGATGGGACGACACGCAGTAACATGGCGAGGAGGGGGGGAGGGCCGCACGGATTGATGAGCTGCCTTTGCGCGTACCTTCGCTTCGCGGGAACGTCTCTTCGACTTCGAAACTCTGACGGGGGCCCGCCCTTGGGACGGAGGGCCCGAACCATGCGAGCTTCCGCTGTTATTGTCGCAAACGACCGCTGTCCAAGGGTCCTTGGGGGCCCGCGGAATTGCCAGACGCTAGTTGTTGATCGATATGAGCTGGGAGCATCCCTCCGGAAATATGGTTTGACCAATGCTCCTTCGCTGCGGTGCCTCTGCGGCCCAAAGCAACGAGTGCGAACACGCGCTCGCATGTGCTCTCGTTCTATCCCGTACGGGCGGGCTTTCGCATCCTCATCTGACTGACATTGCCCTTTTGGCTGCCATCCCTGTCACGCGAGCCCGGCCGACGTTTCTCTCTCCCCTTACCCCTCGTACTGAAAGAGGCTGTGTATGCCAAAAGGCGAAGCTGTCAGTTTCGCGGCTTTTTCGGGGTCCCCTTTGTGCTCCCGTTCGAGCCCCCATGTCCCGGCCTGCCGAACGGACGCAGGTTCGAGAGCACTCGTCGAACCGACGGCAACCACGGCACACCCATTCTGCTGCCTGGTCGGCGAACTGTGGTTTGTTCGGGAACCCGGGCTGGAGGCATGTGTTTGGCGTACATGTGGTGTCGTCTCTTGTAAATGCGAGAACTGGGTCCCGACGGGAGGCTGAGATATGCAAAATAGACCGACGAAACCAACCACAAGAATGGAAATGGGACAGCAGTGGGCTTCCGGGGGCGCGTTTGTAACGTACGTGTCTCCCCGAGAGACGCGTGGGCCGCTTGTTGGCTCAATCAATTTTGCTTTGCCCGGGGAGCTATTTTCTACCCAACGAATGTTTGTTTCTGTTGCTATTCCGGTCCCAACCGGCCCCCAACAACCGTTGCTTCGTGCTATTGAAACAGCAGACTATTAAGGCCGACTGCAGGGCGATGGAGTGCTATGAGAATGAGTCAAAGAGAAACACTATCGGTGGAGGAGAAAAAGAATAAACCTTGTGTCCATCATTGCGGCTATGGGCGAGTGCAACTACATCGCCCAAGGAAAAAACCATCGTGGCTGACACGGCACCGGCATTGAATCGACTCCGCCGAGCTGCTTCCGAGAGAGCCTGACCAATTGCACCGCCATCAAACCTTCCAATCCACAGAAAAGGGGGGAACAGAGGTGTCAACTCTATTCGCGGCCAGGAACCTTCGCGAACAAAAGGTCTGGACCACTTGGTCTGTACGCTCCGGGGATGCCTTCTCCCCGACTCCCCAACTGCCATCAGTCACTTGACGAGAGCCCGTGGGAATGCCCTGTCGTTGCCCGTCCCTGTCAGTCTGTCACACGATCACGGTCTTCGCAGTTTGCAGCCCTCCTTCGGCGTTTGTTTTCGTCTCCCTCCTGCGCGCCTTTTTGTTGGGTTTAACTTCCCGCCATGGCATTCTCAGATTCCCAATCCCTCCCCCTCTTTTACCGTCTCCCCCGTCGGAGATAGTTTGTACGTCCGTACGCAGCATGCTAATGGAGGCGCACAAAACTCAGTTTACCCCTCTTCTAGCTGCCCTTCTCTTCTTCCTTGCGCGCCGTCCCCTTTGTTCAGTCTCCCCTTAGACCAGACCGCTCATATCATTTGCGGGAGTGTTGATCTTGGCCCTACAGAAGGCCCGTCTGTGCGTACGCCGCCCAGAAGCATACGCTACACACGACCACAACCTTGAGATGGCGGTAGTTCCTACTCCAAGGCTTCCCCAAGACTTCCTAGCCAGAGTGGTGTGGGTGTCCCATGATTGGCCAATGCAGCTGCTGCCTTGGCCGCGCCTTGTCCCCTCCTTTTCACGTTTGACTTGCGTTAATCCGAGGGGGGCGTGTGCCGTATTTCCCATTGTCCGTCGTATGCAACTAGCAGACATGAGAGACGGTCCCACGGTCCCCATGGACAGTGAGACGGCAGCCCCGACAGTTACGCAGCGTCAAC